CCAGCCCCCTGCCATGGGTTTGGTTGTACTTCCCACCAGGCCAGTTCATTATTCCAAGTGTTTTGCCTCTGGAGCTGGCTCACTGTTACCCACGTTGTTGCTCCTGAGTCTCCCATGTAAATCTCTTTTCTCCCTCAGTCTGAGGCTTTGGCTAAATCCCACTGTCCTGTATCCCTGTCCCTAATCACTGCTTTCCCTGCACCCTGCCCTGTCTGGCATGGGATAGTTTCTCTAGGAATGCAGAGGGGTTGAATTTGGGATATGGGCTGGGAGCTCACCAAGAACTCCCAGGAAGGAGGGATCAGGTACTGGGAACAATCCTGTAGAAGGGACATGGGCCCCTCCATGTAGAAGGTTTGGTGGGATGTGTCTGTTCCAAGCCTGTATCCATTGCTCTTTTGATTAGTTCATTTCAATTCCATGACAACCAAATTCACACAAACCCCTAAATCCTTACCTGTCAGTTTGGTGTTCTCCTTGGGATCTTATCCCATAGATCCCCAGAGCTCATCCTTGGCTGTGGAATTAGTTGGAAACTGGACCTTGTGTTTTTTTGATCCGGTATGAACTGGGGATGCAGGAGCTGCCCCTTTGCTTTGGAAGGACAGGGCTGTCCTTGGGGATGGGCTGGTTTCCTGGGAATGTCCCTAGTATGGGACAGGGTGGGGTGGATGATCCTCAGCATTGCCTGGGACAGTCCCACCTTCTGTGATAGGAAGGGACATGGGCTGGGTTGGGATGTGTACGGATACATCCCAAAGGTGTCCTAATCCAAAGGAAACTGCTCAAGGGTGATATTCCTGGGGGGAGCAAAGGATGACAGTAATGGGACGAGGAGGGGCTGTGGGTCAGAGATAAGGTGTGGGATCCCCTGGAAATGCCTTGGACAGCCAGGACTTTGCTCTGGGGTGGTCTTTGGGGAGCTGTGGGAGCACTGGCTCCGTGTCCTGCTCCGGTTACAGGAGCCCCGTTTGGGGGCTGGTTATCATCCCAGTCAGGTAATAAAGAGCATTAATTAAGCAGGAATGCTGGGCTGGGATCCCGGGGGAGCCAGGGGCTCCTCCAGGGTCACCAGAAGGGATAGAAGCAGCCCAGGGTTGGGCACATGTGGCAGTAGAGATGTCATCCTGCTGTTCCTTATGGAAGCAGCTTTGTCCAGGTGTGCATCCCAAGTCTCAGGGTTTGCTGAGGTGGCAGGCACAGGAGGGATGCTATTCCCAGCTGGAGCAGCTCCTCCCTGTGTGGCAGAGCCGTCCAGGATGGGAAGAATCTCCGTAGCCAAGCGCTGGCCCCGTGGCTGCCCGGGCTTAGGCGGTGTTTGGTTTGTTTGCCACGGCCCGGATTCCTGGTGCTCGCGGCCAGGCCAGCAGCCAATCCTCCCGGGCCGAAGGATAAACACGGCAGGAGGGAGAAGGGGGTGAGGAGCGGCGCGGGGCCCCGGGAATGTGCCGATGCTGCAGCCTGGCCCCAGGATTGCACAACCCAGCCCTGGTGCACGGACACAGGCGCGATGGGCCCAGCGAGTGCCAGGGCTCTCTGCCTCGCCAAGCGCCGGCACTGCTGTGGCATCCCAGGGCATTCCTGGTGGAGCTTCGTGCTCTGTGTCCTGCTCATCCATGCATCCCACTGATGCTCCAGCACGTGCTGGAGGACCATTAGGAGAGGGACCACATGGAACCAGAAGCTCCTGGCGTTTCCTGATCCTATTCCACCGTGCACCATTTTGGGTATTTTATCACCTCCCAGGCTGTTCCACACCTCAGTTTTCCCTGAAAATTCTCTGGTACATGCCTCCAATGGCACTGGGAAGCTCTGGGCTTGGCACAGCCTCTTCTCCTGCTCTTTCTCCTCCTCCTCCCCGGTGTCCCCCCACCCCTGGCTGATGTTCCCCAGCCCCTGCAGAGTGCTGACCTCGTCGTCATCTCCAGCTTCCCACATCTGGTTCGTGTTAGCGCATCCCGGGATGAAGTTCTCCAGCTCTCTCCCTTCCTCCCACCCCCAGGTGACCCAGGCAGGATTAGGGGTGATTTGAAGACAGGCAACAGAGTAGGAATTGAAGAGGGAGGGGGGACTGTTATAAATAGAAATTCCATAAACTTCTCAGCCTATCACTCCAGGAAAATTCCGGGTTAAATCCCTCAGACCTGTAAATATGACAGTTCACAGAGGCCAAGCTCTGTTAACTCTTTCCAAGCCTCCTGTGCCCATCTCTGGGAGCACCCAAAACTGGGACAAGGAGCTGGGAAGGTGCCACCAGGAGGGACGAGCTGGTTGGAGCAGGGGCAGGGAGGGGGCAGCAGGGTGGGAAGCACCTCCGTTGGGATGTGGAGCGTGTTTGAAGGTTTGGGGAAGGCAGAGAAAACCAGTCCAAACATTGGGATTCCTGACATTCTCACACGTCCGGGGGCCTCAGCCCGCCCGGCTCCGCTCACGAGGAGGGTGCTGAGGGTTTTAACTTCTTGTTCTTCAGGCAGAGCTTGGGGTTTTTGGAATTGCCATGGCTCTTTTCCCAGAGAAGTGTTGGAAAGTGGAGCAGTGACATGGTGGGAGAGCAGGGTGGCAATGCCAGGGACAGGAGGAGGACGGGACGTAGGCAGGTTTGGGAGGGATGAGCTCAGTGCTTTCCTGGGCTCCTCCATCTTTCTTTGCTGGGATGAGATGTGGGAGCCTGTCCCATGCAGAGCCATGTGGGTGTTGAGCTTCCCTCCTCGGTGGCTTCCCACTAATCCCCACTTGGGAGGGGGAGGGAATGCCGGTCCCCTCGGGATCTCGTGACTATGGAGCAGTATTAGCTTTTAATTAATCACCTAAGCTGGCTTTGGTTAGAGCCCGGCTGCATGGAAGCTCCGGGCGGTGGGACATTCCTTGTCCCTGCCCTGATATCCCTGGATTTGTGCAAATCCCACTGTCCTGGAGCAGAGGAAGGTCCTTGATTGCTGGTGGGCAGCCACATCTGCCCCCGAGCCCTGGCACACCTCTCGCGTCACTGGGCTTATCTCGCCCTCCCCAAGGTGACTTCAAGGAAGCAAAAAAGGAATCCTGGAATGGTTTGAGTTGGAAGGACTGTGAAGCTCATCCAGTACTCTCTTGCCATGGGCAGGGACACCTTCCAGTGTGTTGGTCCAAGTCCCATCCAACCCGGCCTGGAACACTTCTAGGGATGGGGCAGCCGCAGCCTCTCTGGTCACCCTGCGCCAGGGCGTCAGCATCTTCAGAAAATTGGGAAGCACAGCATCCTGCTGTCTATAGAGGGCTTCTCATCCTTCACATCCTGGAGGGTTCCTGGGCTCCTCTTCCACCACGGAGGAGCTCCTGGAGTTTGGAGGTGTGAGGGAAGCCTGCTGGGATTGGACTTTTCTTGGACAGGCTGAGTCACAAAAATTGGCCAAGTGCTCTTTCTGCTGCTTTGATCGTGGATCCCAGTGCCGAAACTTGGGATGAAGACAAGTTTCCTGATGGCCTTTGGGGTGGGTGTTTGCCACAGGCATGCTGTGATTTATAGTCCAGGGCTTTTTTTGCTAAGAGGGAGGCAACGGAGCACAGGGAAGATTCCCACCCTCCTGGAGTGCTCATCCCTGGCAGGAGGTTTTGGGGATGTTACGGGATGACTGTGAGGGCTTGAAGAGGTGCCTTGGGAGATGTGTTTGTGGTGAAGTGTTGGGAGTGGGCTATGGCAGAGATCCTTAGGCACGAGCAAGGGACACGGATGGCCATCAGTGAGCTCCCATGGCTCCGAGGACAAGAGGGTGGAGCTACCACATCCCAGGAACTTCAGGGCAGGATGTGGCTGCCTCAGTGGAGGGACAGAAGCAAACCCTGTGCTCCCTTGGGAATCTGCAACTCTGTATGGGATGTGCTGGCACACTGGAGACCCCAGAGGCTGTGCCTGCTCCATCCTCTCCTCACCTCAGTGCTCACCTGGAAGCAGCATCGTGTGTCCCTGCTCCAGATGTTCACATCCTGCTCCTGTGTTCACATGCAACACCCTCACCCTGTCCCCAGGTCCCTGGGCTCTGCCACGGAGATGTCCCAAAAATGAACGGTTCCCTGGGATTTTCCCCCGCTCCAGCCAAGGTTTCTAAGGCAGAGCTCCCTGTATCCACGCACACCCTGTCCGCTTGGCAGAATTCCTAGCTGGATTTATTTCTGCCGATTTGCCTGTCTTGGTATGAAAGGGATTTGCAGAGGGAGAGCTGCAATTGGCCGGGGTGGGCTGGAGCCCCCCGGGCCGGCCTTTGCGGATCAGCAAGTGACCTTTCCCGGGAACCTGGGGGATCCAGGAGGGCAGGGGCTTCTCCTGGGCTTTCACGTGGGGTCTTTCAGGATGGTCTTTCACTGACTTCCTTATCGGAGCAGGGGGAGTTGGATCTTCTCTTCCACTTTCTTGGCAGTGCCTTTGGCACCGCGGGCTGGCTCCGGCCCCGGCGGCCTCCGGACTCCCACTTGGGAGAGACAGATAAAGGAAGGATTTTCTGTCAACAAAACCCTGCCCAGCTTCCCTGGAACAGGGCAGGGAGGAGAGGAGGAGCCCTCTGGAGAAAGGACAGGGAAATCCACCGCCTGCCCGTGGAGCAGAGGAGAGGGAGGAAGGTTGGGAGTTGATCCAGGTTGTGGTGGAGAATTCCAGTGTTCTGCAAAGGGTCCAAAGGGAATCATAGAATGTCTTGAGTTGGAAGGCATCCCAAATGATCTGGTTCCTACCGTGTGTCTGTGTCCCCGCCCTGGCTTGTCCCACGTGCCCCATCTCCTGGGATGAGGCTTTACACTGGGATGCAGTGGGTATGGACAGCTGGCAATCCCCGGGGATCTGCTGATCTAGTGAGTCATCCCTGCCCATGGCAGGGGGTTGGAATGAGATGATCTTCAAGGGCCCTTCCAAGCCATTCCATTTTTCCATGATTCTCAGATCAGTTCCTTGACTGTATAAGGGTCTGGTGGTGTTTCCAAGGCCCTTTCCTGTCCTTCTCCTGGCTCATGCTTCCACCTCCTCTCCCCTCCAGGCCACGACATTAATGGAGCTCTGGAACCATCCAACATCGACACCAGCATCCTGGAAGAGTACATCAGCAAGGAAGACTCTCCAGAGATGTAAGTGCTTCCCTTGCTCTGCAGTAGGAATGGTGGGTGTTCCTCGTGATTTTCCATGGAGAGATCACAGAATCCTGGAATGGTTTGGGTGGGAAGGAACCTTTGGGTCAGAAGGGATGAGCCCATCTGGTTCCACCCCTGCCATGGGCAGGACACCTTCCACTATTCCAGGTTACTCAAAGCTTTGCCCAGCCTGTCCTGGAACACTTTCAGGGATGGGACAGCCACAGCTTCTCTGAAAACCTGTTGAACAATTTCCAGCCCTAAAATTTGGGGAATCATTTAGAAATCACCTCTGCCCTTCCAGAATCTTCCTGGATTGATCTTTGCTCCTTTATCATTCCCATCTCTTTTTCCTGTCTCTTCCTGGCTTCTTACCCTCAAGTTTTCCCAGTCATTTTTCCCCCCTCTCTTTATCCACCCCCAGGGCACCTTAAACACTTTTCCTTAATCAGAGCACTGGGAGCTCAGATTAAATCCCCAGGACTACATGAGTTTGCAGAAAGGAAGGATCTCCCTGTGTACCCCAGCTTTGGGAAGGAGGATGGAGTAGACCTGGAGAGCACCAAGGGAATCTGGGAGCAGGGTGGGGATCTTTGGCATAGCTGGTCTGTAAAGCTGGAGCACAGTGAGCACATCCTGCTGGCCACACATTCCTTGAGCTTGCTGTCCTGGGCACTTCAGAACTTCCTGGGTGGATTTTGGACTCTTCCATCAGTCTCACTGTCTCGTTGCCTTGATGTTGTCCCGTTTTCTCCCTCAGCTGCTTCCCTGAGATCCCTGCTCCCGCCAGCTACACCCACCCCCAGCCCTCCAGCTCCGCCGGCATCCCCGCTCCTCCCGGCGGCTCCGTCGGCAGCGTGAGCAATCCCTCTCCCAGCCCTGCCCTCCACCTCCCTGCGGCCGGCAGCCAGCTCCCCATCCGCCATGGTCCCCTCCTGGCCACTCCCTGCGGAGCCGCCTACGGAGCCCACCTCAACTGCAACAACAACAACGGCATGGTGGTGCCCAAGGGCTTCCTGGCGGGGCACTGCCTGAGCAACGTGGTGCCTCCAATCAAATCAGAGCCCAAGGCCTCCTACGCACCGGGGTGAGTGGGAATGGGATGGCGGGATAAGGGTGGGTGCTGGGATGGAGGCTTCTCCAGGCTGGTGGCACCTGGAGGGTCCCACGGAGCTGTGGCAGCATGGCTCTGTGTGGTAAGTCCTTGGTTTTGGGCGAGTGGAGATCCTGAAGCTTCCCAAAAAGGTTTTTTTGGGATCATCCCCCACGCTGTTGTAGAGTATTGGATACCTCTGCTGGACATCTGCAGGTGGGAGAACATTGGAGCAGTTTTTAAGGAGGAAGAGACACAGAATAAACTGGAACAAGACAAAATTCAGTCTCTGGGATGGAACTCAGTCTCTGGGATGTTGCCATGACTGTTCCAGAGGATAATTCACTACACGGGGCAGGGAGGTGTTCTTCTCATGGCCTGATGTTGCAGATGCTCCGCTCCAGAGAAGGAGAAGATGGATCTGAGCTGGATGTGTCCTGTTCAGCAAGCTCTGGGGAAGAGGAAGGGCAGGTTTTGAGATTGCTGATGGACCCAGCTGGAGAGTTATTCCCAAGAAGAGAAAGGATGTGGTTCCTGCTCTCCGGGATGGAAGGAAGGGATCAGTAACATCCCACGGTGCTGTGCTCCAGCCTGGATCTTCAGGTGGTGGTAGCTCTGGACAGCCTTCTCCCATGGGATGGATTATGGATGTAAGGACAGTGAGGCCAGGATTCTTCTCCCTCTGCCTTGTGCCCTCTAGTGTTGCCAGCAAGCACAACGTGGGGATTCCCAAATTTGGGAGCACTCAAGTCAACAGCTTTCACTCTTTGGATGAGCTTGGAAAAACATCCCAGAAAGCTAAAAGAAAAAAATCTGCCTTTCTTTTATTCCCAGACCAGGGGGTTTTCCCTTGCGGTGATCCCAGAAGGATACCTGGAGCTTAGGGGTAATGAAAAGCATGAAGTGATGCCTTGTTATGTCCTTTTCTTCTGGATGCATCTGGAATTCTGCAGGATGTCATGAGTAAGGATCACACCTTGCTGTTGGAGGTGGAGACCTTGTTTGGATGTAGCTGAACTGGATCAGCTTTGATGGCAGCATTCCCTCAGCACCCTAGAATTACTCTCCCCCTTGTGCCAGGCTTTTTCCAGTGGAGAATCATGGAATATCCTGGAAGGGACACATAAGGATAATGGAGTCCACTTCCTGGCCCAAGCCTCCCATCATGTGCTCAGGGAAAATGTGGAAAACAACAAACCCTTCCCTTGGACTGGGCACAGCCACACTACCTCCCAGTGGGAATTCTGCCGTGTCCACCTTTTCCAGCCTCCTGGATTTCTTGAATTGTGCTGTTCCCTTTGGTTATTGGCTTGCTGGTGCATAAATCCTGATAAATCCATAGGAAATACAGTATGAACTCAGATCCCACATGGCAAGGAGCCTGGAAATAAGGCTGGGAATAGATGCTCCAGCCAGGCATGGGAAGGGAATGATGGAAAGGTGCTCCAAGGGAAGGTGGAGGATGAGGGAAATACGGCAAGGGCTTTTTTGGGATCACCCTACCTCAGCCCTCTTCAGCCCCTGCTGTGTGCAACTTCCCATGAAGAATCCAATAAATGGGCCTTGGGCTTCTCTGGTCCAGGAAGATCCTGTATCCTGGTTCCCAGCTGGAATTGTGGGTGCTGTCAGGACCAGAGTTGGAGCAGTGTGTCCTGTGCTTTTCCTCCCTTTCCCAAAATTCATTTGCTTTCTTACTGGCTTTCATCCAAGGAACACTGGGATTTGTCTTGGATTACTTCACATCCATAAAGCTGATGGGGTAGAATGGGTGAATGGAAAAGAATTCCCATGGAAAACGGGAATGTGCCATAGTTTCCCTCCCTGTCCCTGCTGTGCCACCACACATGACCTGGTCCTGCCATCCCTAGCCATGGATGTGCTGGAAAAGGCAGCTGGGAGCTCCCACTTTTTTTTGGATTGTGTTTCACAGTCAGGGCCGAATCCTGCTCCTGGTGATGTTGGAATATATCCAGGGGGATACAGCAGGAGCTGTGTTGGTGCTCAGGTTTGTACAGGCAAAATCTGTTCCACGGGCTTCCCAGATTCCTGAGAACCTCTTATTTCACAGAATCATGGAATTGTTTGGATGTGAAGGGACCATAAAGCCCATCCAGTCCCAGCACTTGCCATGGGCAGGGACATCTTCCACTATCCCAGGCTCGTCCAAGCCTTTTCCAGCCTGGCCTGGAGCAGCTTCCCAGGATGGGGAGAGACCTCAGTGCATTCCACTTGATCACTGCCTTTTCCATGGGAAGCACACCTTTCACTGGGAAGCAAATAAATTTGTTTGGCTTCTTTTCCCTGGAATTCTCACTGTCAGCTCAACAAAATGTCCCTGTTCCCAAGCTCCAGTGGAACCCATGACAGTGATGGACACACTCAGGGTGTCTGGGATCTGCTGCAGGTGCACCTGGGATTCCCCTGCCAGATCCTGGAAGGGTGCTTGAATCCACCTGGACCTCTTGGTTGCTCAGGAAGCTGGATTAAAATTACTTTCCCTTCTCTTTTCCCATTGCTCCACAGCACTTTGCCAGACTCTCCCCCGGATTCCGGATCGGAAGCCTACTCCCCTCAGCAGGTGAATGGTAAGTGCTTCAAAAAGGGAGAACGGGGCGGGGGGGAAAAAATCCTAATCCAAACCCCAAATCCAGCATCCACCCCCTTTTTATTCTGTGAAAGTGGTTGGCTCTGCAGTCTTTATCAGCCGGGAGAAAACAGGCGGCTGCACTACGTGGGGAGATTATCAGTTAGTAAATATCCCTCAGCTTTCGCCCATTGTTCCGCTCCCGGCTGTGGAAAGGGGGAGAGGGACCGGCACAGAAGGAGAGCTGGGAGTCCACGGACACGGAATCCGTGGTGGGAATCCAGAACCCACGGACACTGAATCCGTGGTGGGAATCCGTGGGCGCGGGGACAGCGTGGCAGGGTGGGATGTGGAGCCCGCCATCCCCCTCGTCCTGCCCTCTGCCTCGGGAACACGGAGCGGGAGCGCGTCCCTGACATGGAACCTGGCTCTGGGAAGCAGCCATGAACCCGCCATTCTCCAGTAAGTTCCTTCCCAGCCTTTCCCTCCCCTCCAGCTGATCCCGAGGATCTCCCGCTCCCACTGAAATGGCGCAGGGAGCTGGGACCCCCTCCAGGGTCTCTGCAGGGTACTCCTGGCTTCCCCCAGAAAAGCCACCGAGGGTTGTTTGGTCCCTCTGGTGACCTTCACTGTTCTACCATGGAAAAACTCCTTGGGAAGGAAGGAGGGAAGGTTGTCCTGGTCTCCCTTCCCCCTCGGCAGGAGCACCCTCTTCCCCAGGCTCCAGCCCAGTCCCCACCGGGAACAGTGCCTGCTCCTCTTTTTTTTTTTTTTTTTGATGGAAGAGGTCAAGAGTTCTGTTTATCTTGCTAAAAAAAATCCCTGGAATTCCTCCTGGCCCTTCCTTAAATATAACAAAGAGGCCGGGCTGCTCACCATGGGGAGAGCAGCTTTGGAGTGCTCGGAGCTCAGTTGGGAAGGAGAGGAGGCTGCGGAGGGCACCCACAAAGCTGGGATCACATTCCTGGAGATGATTTTCCCTGGGTTTGGGAGTGCCTTGGGCAAGCACATCATTTGCCTATCCTTGGCTGGGCTGTCCCTGAGGCAGTTCCCAAAGGAAGGCTGACCCAGGATTGAGCCTGGAAGGAGGAATCTGGTTCCATGTGTGTGGAAAAGGCACTGAGAGGTCCCAGTGGGAAGCAGAACACCTTAGAGGGACAGGATGGGTGAGAGCAGCCCTACCCTGGCAGCCTTCAGCAGGAGGACCCAGTGCAAACACATTCCAATTTTCCAAACCTTCTGACGGGAGGAGTTTTCCCATTCCTGGTCAAGCGCTTTGGCCTCATTACTCAACCCCTGCCTGGGTGTTCTGAGGCCAAAGTCCATCCAGCTCAGCCTGGAAAGATCCAACAGATCCTTTCCTGCCGTCCCTCTTGGTGTTCCCAGAGACTGTGCCTGGCTTGGCCAGTCCCTGGATGTGTTTTCCAGCCAGTTTTCCACATTGGAGCATGAAGAAGCTTTGTCTTGCATTTAAAACAAAGTCACTGTTTCTTCCTACCCCACAGTTTCCTCACATCCCAGGAGTCAGTCCCCCATTCCTGCTGGGATTGTGGTGTTCTGTGGGAACACCTGAAGGTACAGGATTATGCAAATATCAGGGAAAGGCTGGAAAAACAGATGGGCTTTGTCCTGGTGAAGAAAAAGGAGGCTGGAGAGGAACTTTGGACAAGGGCATGGAATGTGAGGGCATGGCGGAATGGCTTCCCACTACCAGAGGGACATTGGGAAGGAATTCTTCCCTGTGAGGGCAGTGAGGCACTGGAATGGATTTCCCAGGGAGGCTGTGGCTGCCTTATGCCTGGAAGTGTTCCAGGCCAGGTTGAACACGGCTTGGAGCAACCTGGGATAGTGGAAGGTGTCCCTGCCCATGGAGGAGAGTGGATCTGGAATGTTGAGGTGTTGAGGAGCAGGGCAGGAAGGGACATGGATTTGCATGTCCCTCCACACCCAAAACATTTCTGTTGGTGCTGGTGTAGTCAAATCCACCCTAATTATAGAATAGCTGTAGTATCCCATTCCAAATGGAGGAGGAGAAAGGTGGAATCGCATTTGAATGTCCCTTTTTATCTATTTAAATTCTGGGATCAAAGTTTCCTCTTGGTTTCAGTTAAAATGTTTAAAGTGCCCCCTCAGAAATCCTCCCTGGAAGTGCTGGGGGTGTTCAAGCAATTCCATTGACTCTTCTCCCTCACTGTCACATGGAATGATAGAATCTTGGAATGGTTTGGGTGGAAAAGGACCTTAAGGCTCATCCCATTCCAACCCCCTGCCATGGGGCAGGGACACTTTCCCTAGCCCAGTTTGTTCCAAGCCTCGTCCAGCCTGAGAATCCAAGATAACTGGGTCAGTGGGATCAGGACACTCCTGACTTTGGCTCTTTTCTCCCTTTCCAGATCCTCATCTCCTCCGGACCATGACTCCCGAAAATATGTGTCACATGACTCCCCCTTCCCGCCTGGAGCACCCTCCTCCTCCGCCGCCTCCTCCTCCACCCCCTCACCTCCAGGGTCCCCCTCCGCCGCCCCCACCGCCCCCTCACCCCCTGCAGCCACAGCACAATTCCCACTTTCCTGGCCTGCAGCGGGATATGTTCCTGAAGGCCGAGCCCCTGATGCCTCCGTACAGCGTTGGGCCGGGAATGGCGCCCGCCGAGCTCCACCATGCCCAGCAATCCCAGATGCTGCACCAGCTCCTCCAGCAGCATGGAGCAGAGTAAGGCCTGGGAATGGCGGGGGTGAGGGAGTGGGATCTGGAGGGGTGTGGATTGCCTGAAGTGTGGGGTTGGGTGGGAACAAACACGGGAAATCTGCGGAAGGCTCCCTGCCTATGGAGAGGGGTTGGAACCAGATGAGCTTTAAGGTCTTGTCCAACCCAAACCATTCTGGGATTCTGTGGAATTAAAGATGTGGCTCAGCAGAAGCAGTGACCCAGACTCAGCAGTGTGGGGTGAGGTGGGACGGCGCTGTGGGAATGTTGTGTTTTCCACGTGAGATCCCGCTTGTCCTGGCTGTGGGGTTGTCACCTCCCGACTCTCCGTTCCCTGCTGAGCGTTCCCGTGGTATCCGCAGCCTCCCGGTGCATCCCGCCAAGAAGCGGAAACACTCCGAGTCCCCCCCCAACACCCTCAATGCCCAGATGCTCAACGGGCTGATCAAGCAGGAGCCGGGAATGGGATCGGTGCCGCTCAACCCCGACCGCGTCCAGACGCCGCCCTGGCACCAGCCAGGAGCGCTCTCTCCAGGTACCCCCGTTATCCCCTGAATTCCAGCCCTGCGCCAGGGCCGTGGGAGGAGGGAGGATGGCTGCCAGAGGTTGCCAGCCTCTGGGATTCACCCTGGATTTGGTGCTGCCCCAGCAGAAGGAGGGAAGCTTCAGGCAGTGCTCATCGCTTCCTTGGGCTCCCACCCCTCTGGATACTCAGTAAAATTGGGATTTAATCCATTTAACTGTTCCCCACAGGCCTGATTCAGGATAATGACAGCCTGAATGGCTCCTACCTGGATCCCAACTTCCAGTCCATCAAGTGGCAGCCACACCAGCAGAACAAGTGGGCAACTCTGTACGATGCCAACTACAAGGAGCTGTGAGTAATTCCCTCGCCACTGGGGAAAGTGGGATTCACATTCCTTGTGCAAGTGGCAAGCCACTGGGGTTGGGAGCATCCCACTCGAAATACGGGATAAGGATCTGCCTGGCCTGGGCTTTGTGGTGGAGGTAATGCTCCCCATTGCCCCTTCCCTACTGGGAATGTTGCTCCTCCACACCTTTTATGGATAATTAAGGAATAGCAGAAGGCATTTCAGCAGCTTTGGTAACAATTCCAGAGCCACTCAGACCTTGCTCACCATGGAGGGCTTAATTGGCAAATCCGGCCTTGTCCTGAGGAAAGTTGGGATGAGCAGCACCTTTTCCCCCTCCCTAGGTTTACCAGGGTCCTGGATTTTAAATTTAAGATTGAGAGTTCCTAATGTGGGAGGCTGGAGGTCATCCAGAGCCACTTCAGGGCAGCTTGAGCAGTGTGGAAAAGACCTGGAGGAGGAGGAGTAGTTGGGGGGCAGAGGAGGGAGGAAAAAGAGGGAAGGGGTTTAGGAAATCTAGGAAGTGGCAGACAGGCCAGAGAGGAAGGCTGGGATGATCAAGACATGGAAGAGAGAAGTGGGAAGGTGGGCTGGGAATTGAGGCAGCAGAGGGTGGAGACAGCACATCGGGAAGGAGGAGTGCTCAGGAGGAAACCACTCTGGATCCTCCCTGCATTCCTGGGAGGTGACAAAGAGCTGGCAAGCAGTGGGATGGCTTCCAGGAACCTCTCAGGGACCCTCTGTTCCCTCCCAGTTCCCTCCCTCCTCTTTCCACACAGCCAGCTGGGGTCCTGTGGGGGACATGGAGCAGGGAATGCTCTGGTGCCTGTGGATATCCCTGGACTATGATCACACTTTGCCTGGGAATGGGAGCCAGGGATTCCAAGGGTGGGGGCAGAGTCCCAGCTTTCCCACACAAATCTGCTCATCCAGTCTTCATCCTATCTTTCATGGTGGTGCCAGGGCAGGGAATCCTCTGTTGGAGCTGGTTGCCTCTTTTGGACTCTGTGGCTGTTTTCCCACCCCACAGCTGGAGAGGGAGAATTTGGGAAGACAATTCCTTCTGGTTTACCAAGCCATTCCCATAAAAGAATATCAGCAGCTCCAAAGCCATCCTGCACCTTTCCCTGCTCTCCAGCACCAGTTTGCTCCCTCTGGATGGTGGGATGGGGAAAGCTGAGCATCTTGCATGGATCCTGTCCCCAAATCCCTCTTCCATGTGCAGGAATTCCATTGCCACCTCCTCTGACCTCTGTCTGGACATGTCACGTCTCATCCTTTGGTGTTCCAACCTCCCTTTTCCTTCTTGCTGCTTCCTGCTCTGGGAAAATGTTTTTTCATCCCAAACACATCACAGCACATCCCGTGCCATTTCCAGGCATTTCTATCCCAGTTCCAGAGATTTTCCATGCACCCTGCTGTCCCCAGGTGGATTGGCAGAGACAAACTCTATTATATTTTCTGCTGGACACAAAGGAGTTGCTGGAGAGCATCTACAAAAACAGCTCTGCCCTCTGGATCTTGGGATCACTTCCCTAATGCCTGCTTTCAGGATTTAGGGTAAAAGCCAGAGCAAACCCACTCCTGGGGCTTTGAGGTCGTCATCCTGTTGTGTAAGGAATAAATTCCATTGAGGTGACTCCATGGGGATTTGAGGAAGCCACGTGGGCTTTGTTGTGGTGCTGGATTTGAGCAGAATTAAGGGTTAAAGGTTGATTGATTAATTTTTAGCTCCATGTTACCTCAGGGGACTCTTCCTGCTCCTGTCCAAGCTGGACCTGCATCTCTTTTTAAATGGAACATCCCTTCATTCTCCTGGTTCAGCACTTTCCTGGGATAATCTATGAGAAACACACAAAAAAAAGTCCATCATTCCTTGCTCCTATATTGGCATTTTTTAGGTTGGTTCATTCAAATTTGACAGGTGGGAATTATCTCCTTTTTTTCTGCTTTTGGGTGTCCTCAGCAAACGAGCAGCATCCACATCAGGATCCATAATTATTCCCCCAATTTAGCTTCCAAGGAGCAGCCATTCCCAGTCTGGTTTCTGCTGGAAGCTGTCCCCAGTCTCGATGTTTGAGTTCCCTCTGATCCAGGTGCCCAAAACCTTTTCACAGCCTCAGGAATGTGAATCATCTGAATTATCTGATTTTTCCTACTCTTGATCCTAAGAAAAGAGTCCAGAGAGGAGGTGAAGGAGGGAGAGCATGGGAAGCTGTCCAGGTTCTTACCAGATTTTTGGGAGCGATTACAGGGCAAAAAGTACAATTAATGCTATTCCACGTTTTTCTCCCTTTGCACACAAAAAATTAGGTTCCATAAGGGGATGGGGTAGGGATTAGGTTCCATTCCAGGCCCATGTCTCAGGTTTTGCCAAGGAATCTGTGTTGTTGAAGGAGACAGAAATCCCTGGATTAATTTTATGGATAGCATACAATGTTTTTGGCCTTTTGCTCTGATGTTGTGGTTTTAGGCTCAGTGAACATTTCCAGGGATGAGCTGGTTTCCAGCAGCAGAGCCAAAGAGGCCTGGAACCGGGCAATTCCCTAATTTACTCCTGGGAGAAGGAGCCATTCATCTCCCTGACAGCAGGCTCTGATAAATTCCAGCTCCCTCCTCCCTCTCCCAGTTTGAGGGAAGGCAGCTGGGAATAGTGCAGCCCTTCATGGAAACGGCTCCATGCTGAGGCCAGAGCCTTGGAACTGGGAAAATGGGAAGGTGCTGTTCTTTTCCCATCCAGCAAACTGTTGCTCTCCTGGGGCCAATCCTGGGGTTTTGGGGTTGCACCCCTTGGCTGGTAGAAGTGTCTGGATGAACAACTGCAAACTTGGCTGTGCTGCAGATCCTGGATCTCAGCAAGGGAATGGAGATCAGTCATGGTCCAGACCTGCTGGATGTGTTTTGGGATATGTGATATGGGGTGCTGGTGATGGATCATGGAAGTGTCCTGGGAAGCTGAAGGGAATACATAGTATGGACACACAGGTGGGATTGTGTGGGAGAGATGACAGTGTCCTGCTGCTCAGCTGGAGTTTGTAACCTGGAAGCAGAAGACATCAGGGAATGCATGGAATTAGGGAATGTCTTTGGATTAGGGGTCTCCCAATATTATGTTTTAGGAGCAGTTTAGATGGGGAAACCTGGATGGACAGAAGGAAGGAAGGAATGGGGGAACACGAGCGTCCCTCTGCCATCCTGCACTTGGCCAAATCCCAATACAATTCCCTGTGGGGAGTTTGTAACCCCTTACCCTCACTGGGATTGGGAAAAACCTGCTCTGATCCTGCCCTTCTGTCCTGCCTTAATCCGCCCCTGTCAGTGGGGATGTTCGGGATCAAATAATCCATTTGACCCCAGACCTTTTATTCCTGACACTTTGCCCTTTGGCCCCTTCCCTGTCCCTGGAAAAGCCAGCATGGAAAGCAGCTTCTTCCCTCTGATCAATCCCAGTGCAGGGATCCCAATTTGGGGGATGTGCCAGCCACAGCCATTGGGAAAATGGGAAAATCTGAAAGGAAAGTGAAAAGGAACCTCTGAAAGGGGATTGTGGAAGACCTGGAATTTCCAGAAGGCCGAGGGGGCGGGGGGCTGCCTGTCTCCCCTCTGTCAGCACACATTTAGCAGCTGTCAGTTTTCCAATTTGGGAAGCATCCATGGTTTGGAAGTTCAGACAGACCCTTCCTCTCCTTGGCTTTGCCAGTTAAAAAACAGTGGGAAGAGTGGTGAACACTCAGGAACCCTAAAAACAGCTGGGAATGGCTTTGCTTGAGTCCCCTTGGGAGGAGGGTGCTTGGGTCAGCTTCAGCTGTGTGTCCCAGTCAGGAATATCCAGATGGAGAATCCAGGGCTGAGACTGGGAGGAGGTTGGGGAATTCCTCTCGTGCCTCTGGGCTAAGGTAGTGCTCTGCTCCCACCGCCTGGTTTGTGTCTGGAGCAGGGCACAGCATTCCTGACTCCCTGGGGCATAAGGAGTGAGTAGTTCCTCGTGGCTATCCCAGAATTACTCATGGCAACCTGGAATCAGCTCTCATCCACATTAACTCTCCAGGTGATTGCAGGGGGAGAATGGTTTTATTCCAGAAAAAAAGGAGGGATAGCAGTGGAGAATCCCTATCTCCCTCTTCCCAGAGTCTCCTGAGTTCTGCCACATTTCTTACTGTCAGTCTGTCCACCTCCCCTCCCGTTGCTCCAGTCCTTCTGGAGGTGGAAGTCAGAAGTGGTTTGGTTTTGGGGGAAAAGTACTCCATAATTTTTAAGCCTGAGATCCAAGGCTGGGCTGAGCTCCCCCTTTATCTCACACCCTGTTCCTTAATTTAAAACAATGGGATTTGGGTGTTCTGCAGGATGAGAGGCAGCTCCTTCCCCCCCTTCCGAGGGCCCACCAGTCCTGGACTGGGCTTTATGGATGGTGAGGAAAACGGACTCACTGCAAAGGCCACATATTTCCCTGATTCCCATGGAAACCAGCCCATTAAGGAGATGTAGATTAAACCTTTCCAGCTGGTGTGTGTTCATGGAGCAGCCAGGACCCCTCCTCCTCCCTCCCTCTCCCCCTCCTCCTCCTCCAGACCTGTCCCCTGGGAGAGCTGGATGCTTTTCCGCAGCAGCCGTGGCAGGTGGTTGTGATTTCAGCTGGAATTTGGGAGGGTACAGCTGGTAGAAGGTAACATTGGGAATGCCACAAGGTGTGGGTCAGTCTGAGCTGCTACTCCCATGTTAAAGGGATGCTCCAGGCTTTGGGAAGATTTTGGAACTTGGGATCTCCATATTCATTCCCAGTTGAATGGAAAGAGCTGTGGAGTGATGTGGGTTGGGAGGGACCTTATGGATCATCCAGTGATGATCCATGGGCAGGGACACCTTCCACTAACCCAGGTTGCTCCAAGCCCCGTCCAGCCTGGCACGGAACCCTTCCAGGGCTGGGATATCCACAGTTTCTGTGGGAAATTGCTGTTCTCAGCTGCTCCCTCTCCCCAGCCCGATGCTCACGTACCGCGTGGATGCTGACAAGGGCTTCAACTTCTCCGTGGGAGACGACGCCTTCGTGTGCCAGAAGAAGAACCACTTCCAGGTCACCGTGTACATCGGAATGCTCGGCGATCCCAAGTACGTGAAGACCCCCGAGGGCCTGAAACCCTTGGAGTGCTTCTACCTGAAGCTGCACGGGGTGAAGGTAAGCGGGAGCTGAGGGACCGTGGTGAATCCAGCAGGGAACAGAGGGGTTGGGAGGTGGCTGGGGACAGGTAACAGCACCTCTTCGTGCAGTAGAGGAATGTGTGGAATTACACAATCATGGAATGGGATAGGTTGGAAAAGCCCTCTAGGATCATGGAGTCCAGCCCTTCCCCCAACACTGCCAAGGCCACCACTAATCCATGTCCCCAAATGCCGCATCCACAGGGTTTTTAAATCCCTCTAGGAATGGTGACTCTACCACTGCCCTGGGCAGCTTGTTCCAATGTCTGACCACTCTTTCCATGAAAGAGTTTTCCCTGATATCCAATCTAAACATCCCCTGAAGGCATTGAAATACAAGTCCTAAGATGGTCTCAGTCTGGCTATCTTCAGGATTGCTTCCCACTCACCTTTAACTCCAGTGGGCACTTCGGGAGGATCCTTTCACCCTCAACTTTTTTGACACTCGGACAATGCCCACACTCAGGCTGGGTATTCAGAGTCAGATGTACCCTATCATGGAAGGGTGGGCAGAGAGCTGGGAGGGAGGAGGTGGGAAGGGGAAGGTCCCTGTGCTCTGTGCCACATTCCCAAATCCTTCTGTCCAGCTCGAGGCCTTGAACCAGTCCATCAACATCGAGCAGTCGCAGTCGGACCGCAGCAAACGGCCCTTCAACCCCGTCACGTGAGTATGGCCTTGTGGGAATGAGCATCCTCTGCTTCCAGGGAATAAGCAACACCAGGAGAAGGTGGGGAAATGGTGGAGTTGGAGGTCTCCCACCCCAATGTGTCAGTGCCACACTCTCCAGTTTTCTCCTGTTTTCCTCTCTTTGCATTCCCAACCCTGCTCTGTGCCCAGGTCATGGACTGGTGGAGCAGGCCAGGAGATGGCCATTCCCCAAAAAAGCTCTCCTCTCCAGGTTGTGGCTCCAGCCTCTCCATACCTGGTTCCTCAGGGCATGAAGTATGTGTGGCAGGTCCCAAGATAGGACCAGTGTGCAATTGGGAATGAGGGAAGAGTGTTGTTGGGTTCAGGGCCTCCACGTGCAGGAAAACTGTGTACTCCCCACCTAAGGAAGGAAGTGGGAAAAGATATTCCCATTCCCAGATAGCCACCATCCTCACTCATTGCTTTGTTTTCCTTTCCTTCCAGGGTGAACCTCCCCCCAGAGCAGGTCACCAAGGTCACTGTGGGGCGGCTGCACTTCAGCGAGACCACGGCCAACAACATGAGGAAAAAAGGCAAACCCAACCCGGACCAGAGGTGAGGGAGAACACAGGGTCTCCTTCAGAACATCCTGAGAATCCTGTGGATCTGCCTGGGCTGGGCAGAGTGGCTGGAGTGGAATGTGGGAATAGGGCTTGGATTGTGGACACCAGAAGGGTGTCCCTGGTTTGGGAGGGGTTGGGGACACTCAGCACAAGGAGAAGGGGGTGCTGCAAGGCCTCCATGGTGCCCCGTGCTCCAGAAGGGACGGAGATCCGGCTCTTCCCAGCACAGGATGTGTCCCTGTCCCTAAGCTGTGACCCTCTGCAGGTACTTCATGCTGGTGGTGGCCCTGCAGGCACACGCCCAGAACCAGAACTACACGCTGGCAGCCCACATTTCCGAGCGGATCATCGTCCGGGTAAATCCCTGTCTCCTCCCACACTCCTTTGCTGCACCATCCTGGGCTGTTTGTTGTGGACATTCCACATCCACAAAATGTGGTGGATCCACAGTGTGGGTGTGGATCTTGGTTTAGTGGTGAATGTGGTGGAGGTGCTGGATTGGCTTTGATGTTCTTAGAGGTCGTTTCCAAACTTGATTTCCCACCTTTCCCATCTCCTCCAAACTCTCCCTGCCTTGCTTGTGGCTTTCCCCGTCCACAGTTGGATTCTGGCTTCAGACTTTCCATACTAGTTGAAGAACCTGTTACAGGATAAGGAAGGAATCCCATTCTCCAAATGGGATCAGTGTCTAATAGAATTGTTGGGAATGAGGAAAGAGTGTTGTTGGAACTCTGCAGCAGGAACAAGAAGATGCAGGAAAATTGGGCACTCTCCCAGAACATCACCTTTTCATGTCCTAAGGCAGGGGAGCAGGAAAAGAAAAAAAGGCACCATTCCCAGGCTCTCCCAGGGTTTTGCTGGAGCACTCAGCTCCAAAACATGAAAGCAGGTAGTAAAACCCAAACAGGGACCTCAGACAAGAAGTCCACGATGATGGATTAGGCAGCTTCCAGAATGTCCAGCACAGAATTTCAGGGAATTGCAAGCAGCCTGGAATGCTCTGAACTTGGGACCCAGGAGTATCATCCGTGTCACTTGGTTTCCTGCTGTTCTGAGTGGCTGGAACCCTGATAGCTGGGATAACAGCTGAAGGAAGCAAGGATATCCCTTTAGCAAGAGGAGAAGGAGAAGGAAAGGCCAACCTTCCCCGTCTCTGCTTCCCAGTGTTCCCCTCCCTGCTTTTCAGTCAGTCCCTGTTGTCCCATTTCTCCACAGGCTTCCAACCCGGGGCAGTTTGAGAGTGACAGTGACGTGCTGTGGCAGCGGGCGCAGCTCCCGGACACCGTGTTCCACCACGGCCGGGTGGGAATCAACACGGACCGCCCGGATGAGGCCCTGGTGGTGCACGGCAACGTGAAGGTCATGGGGTCCCTGATGCACCCTTCGGATGTCCGAGTGAAAGAGGACATCCAGGAGGTGGGAACCACTGGGAATCAGGGTGGGCTTGGGGTCACCAGGAGGCTGAAGAACTCCCGTGATTCTTGTGGGTCCCTTCCACCTCGGGATATTCCATGATCCTATGACTGCAGAGCAGATGGGAAGTACCTTTGGATTCTTTCTGTCCCAAGCACAGCCAGTTCACCTTGTCTTAGGGAATATTGACTCTTCCAGTGTTAACCAGAAGTAGCAAACAGTGGGAAAAAGGTGGAAAATGAGTGGAAAAAAGGTCAGTGTAGCAGGTACCACATTGGGCCTTGCCAGAGCCTGGGTGAGAGGCTTGGCTCTGCTCTGAATTCCTCTCTGCTGGATTTGCCTGTCCAGAAAAGCTGGATATAACCCTGTCAGCTGTTTTTGGGAACTGTCTCTTCCCTGTGTCTGGTTCTGCAAGGAGACTCAGTCTCCTGATTTCCCTATCCCTATCTTGTCCCCACCTGGATATTAACCCCCAATGTTTGTCCTTACAGCTGCTCAGAGCAGGGTTCAGGGCTATCTCCCAAAGGAATTCCCATGGGCCATAGTGGGTTGTCCTGCTTGGATGCAGAGTGATGGGGATTTGAGAAGCAATGTCCCATTGGGAATTCCATGTGCCTGTTTTGTCCCAGGTGGACACCACGGAGCAGCTGAAGCGGATCTCCAGGATGAGGCTGGTGCACTACAACTACAAACCTGAGTTTGCAGCCACGGTGGGCATTGACAGCACCTCTGAGACAGGTACATCCCCTGGGAATACACCTGTGAGACAGGACTGTCCCATGGGAATACGCCTTTGACACAGGAATGTCCCACAGGAATTCACTGCCTTTCCTAGGGGCTGGACCCAGCTCTGTGCCAGGGCAGCCCCCCAGGTGTGGGGTGGGCAAGAGGGGCCTTCTAACCTCCCAAATTAAGGAATCTAATGAAATGCCCTCTTTGGTGAGCGGGAGAGAAAGTGGCACTTCCCACAGGAAGAAGGTTTCTCCAAGTATGCTATGGTGGGGTGATGATCCCTATCCATAGAATTTGGGGAGCAGCCTTGTCTGACCATCCTCCGCCCTCGAGGGTCTCCAAGGAGCCATGCACAGCTTGGAATGAGTATCCAGGGGGTGCAGGGTGATCCCATCCCACCCCACTGTTCCATCTCCACATCTCCAGGTGTCATCGCTCAGGAGGTGAAGGAGATTCTGCCGGAAGCTGTGAAGGACACTGGGGACCTGGTCTTTTCCAATGGGAAAACTCTGGAGAACTTCCTGGTGGTGAACAAGGTTGGTGGCAGCCAGGAGGCTGGGGAGGCTGCCTCGAGGGAATTGTGGAGCTGGATATGCGAGAGGGAAGGTGGGATGCCTGGGAAATGCTCCCAGATGAGTTTCAGACCTGGCTGCTCTTCCAGAAGTCGGGAGCAGCCCTGGGTGGATATCAGACACCAGCAGGGAGGAACCAGCCTGATGCTGGTGAAATTTGGCAGCATCTCCCTCGGGAAGGGCTCCTTGTTGGCAGCTTCCTGCTGGGAGGCTCCCAGTCCTAATCTCCCCTTTCTAGATAAGATAAGGTGCTTATGTCAGGATAACCTGGAGCACCTGGTTTCCTGACCTTTCCCAACCTGTGGCAGCCTGGTTGTTGCTCTGGGAATCAAGGGGACAGTCTCCCATGGCACACATGGAGGGCATGGATCATCCAGGTCCAGGTGTGCCTCAGCCTGCTGGCCTGATTCCCTGGCAGGAGCGGATCTTCATGGAGAACGTGGGAGCCGTGAAGGAGCTGTGCAAGCTCACGGATAACCTGGAGACGCGGATCGATGAGCTGGAAAGGTGGAGCCACAAGCTGGCCAAGCTCAAGAGGCTGGACAGCATGAAGTCAACTGTGAGCTCTGGAGCCTTCAGGTACCCATGGAGCCACAGGGAATGTCCCCTTTCATCCCAGGAAGTTCCAAGGGGAGGCTCAGATAGGGAACAGGGAGATGAGGAAGGACTGGGATGTTGGCTGGTGTTGCTTGGCCTGGAGTGTATTAAAGAGCTGAGCTTGAGGAGGTTTGGAATTCCCACAGGACCAACCCAGCAACACCCAGGATGAAATAGTCTCCATGTTTCCCTAAAGTCAGTGGCTTTGTCATGGCAAAGAGTTTCCCATGCTTCCAAAATCTCCTTCCTGACTCTGCTTATGCCAGTTTTGGGGCAAAGCACCAAAAGGGTTTGTGACTGTCACACCACAAAAACGTCTTTTCCCTCCCAGAAGTTCCCATTTTTGCCTTGGAATGGCTTGGAAAGCTATCCCTGCCCAGCTCAGCTCCATTCCTCCTTTTCCTTGCAGCCAAACTGGGAGCCAGTTCAGCCGGGCAGGAAGCGTGCCCCACAAAAAGAGACCCCACAAAGTCACCAGCAAGGTAAGGGATGGATCCCAAAGGAGCAGTGCCAGGAGCAGAGAAGGCTCAGGCTGGAGAAAAGGAGGATCAGGGGGAACCTCAGTGTCCACAAACTCCTGGAAGGAGGTTGGAGCCAGGAGGGTTCTGCTCCCTGCTTTATCCAAGAGGAAATGGCCCCAGGTTGTGCCAGGGAAGGGCTAGGCTGGATATTAGGGAAAATTTCTTCATGGGAAGGGCTGTGAGGCACTTGGAGCAGGCTCCAGTGGCGGAGTCCCCATTGCTGGTGGGATTTAAAAACCCTGTGGATGTGGCACTTGGGGACATGGATTATTGGTGGCCTTGGCAGTGCTGGGGTGGGGTTGGTCTCCATGATCCTAGGGGGCTTTTCCAAACACAGTTTTCCTATGATCTTCCTTTCTATCTCTTAATGAAGACATTAAATGACTTCTAAACTTGGGGAGTTGAGGATTTTCAGGGAGGCAGGAAGAGACCTCAGGATGGGCTGGGGGAGATCCGTGCAAGGACCAGAGCAGTGAGGGAGCTCTGCTGATCCAGGGGGTCCTGAATGAGCTGATCCAGGATTTTTTCCACCGCAGTCTCCGTCGGTTGTCCCGGAGCAGGCCTGCATCAGCCAGCGCTTCCTTCAGGGCACCATCATTGCCCTGGTCATCATCATGGCATTCAGGTGAGATCCCACTCCTGGCCTTCTGCATCCAGCTCATCCACTGGGACTGTGCCATCCATGGGGTGTGCAGTGAGGGGCTGTGGGTCTATGGCTTCTTCCAGAGAATCCTGGAATGCTTCGGGTTGGAAGAGACCTTAAAGTTTATCTGGTTCCAACCCCCTGCCATCAGCTGGGAACTTCCACTATCCCAGTTTGCTCCAGCCTGGCCTTGAACACTTCCAGGGATGGGGCATCCATCTCTCCTGGGCTGGAATCTCGTGGAAGGTGGATCGATCCCATGCCCTATCCTTGCTCCCTGCTCCTCCTCAGCCTGTCCTTGTCTCTTTTCCAGCGTGGTGTCCATGTCCACGCTCTACGTGCTGAGCCTGCGCAGCGAGGAGGATCTCGTGGACATCGATGGGTGGGTATTTCGGGAACCACTGGGAGGGATGAGGACACCTGGGAGAAACTGGGATTGCTGAGCACAGTTCCAGAGCTGCACACCCTGCCACGCACAGCCACGCGCCCCAGTCTGATGGTGGTTGAATTATCTGGTGCAAGAAGTGAGGAATGGAGAAGGAAAAGGGAATCTCTTTTTAGGATGTGCTGAATGTTCCTTGAATGCCTCCAGCTGAACTAAAACAGCCTCATCCGACTGGTGCAGCAGGGCTGGATCAGCTTTGGGAGCTTGTGTAACCTGATAATGAGTCTCTTTTTCTCCCTCTCTTTTCCCTCTCCCATTTTTCTCCCTCCTCTCCTCCTTACATTTCTCATCCAACCCTTTTTCCTTACACTTTGTCTTTGATTTCCCCATTTTTGTCTTTTCCTTCCCATTATCTTCCATACCCTCTGTGATTCCCTGTCCTCCTGGTCATCTTCCCACTTTCCTGCTCTCCTTGTCTCCCTGCACTGTCCTGTAGCTCCTTTGCTGTACCCACTGCCTGTCTCCTGGCCCTCTTTCGGCATGGGGGTCCCGGAATTCCGGTTGCTCTGTGTCCACGGTATGTGACTGTTTCATTATTTCATTATTTAATTCCTTCGTCCCTTCTTTTAATTCCTCTTTTTTTCCTGCACCACGAAAGGCCAAGAAACTGGAAACAGAGAAAGGGATGTGAGACTTCCAGTGGGATTGCAGGAGGAAGGGTTATGGGTCCTGTCAGGGAAGGGCAATTAGGAGTAGGAGATGGAAAAATCAGTTAGTTGAAGGTTAAATAAAGAAATTGCATCCTGCAGGGAGAGCGGGAGCAAGATAAAACTGTAAGAAGGGATGAGGCAGTGGAGGAACTTCAGGGATCAGGGTTAGATTTAGACTGGGATGAAGGTAAAGCTCCAGAGGCTTTTGCCCATATTCTCATTGAAGACTGGCATTGAGTCTCCTTTCACCTGGAAAAAAAAATCCCTCTATTTAGACAAATCTTGGAGATGACAAAGTGTTTTTTAAATTCCTCTAAATGAGTGAAGCTCTGTTAATCCCACAGAAACCTGGAGCGATGCTCAGGGACAGGTAAGACATGGACACAGGTGTCCAGAAGTGCTCCTTCTCCCAGGTCTGCAGAATGATTCCCTCCTTTTCCCGTCTCCCTAACCCTCACGAGATGCCTGTGGTGTCCTCAGCTCAGGTCTTGGATAGGTGCAGTGAAACACCTGGAATTCCATGGGATGAATTTGGGGGTGGGGGGATTGTGTGTGTTTCTGAGAAACAAGGTGAGGAACAGTCTGCCTTCAAGGAATAAGGGGCACATTCCTTAGGGAGTGGTGAGAGCTTGAAGCCTGTTGATTCCCAAGCACCTAAATCCACCCAGGAGACTCCTGATGGGAGTCAAATCCACCATGTACACCATGTTCCAGGGGGGTTGCTGGTGTCCTCTGAATCAGCTGGGACTTCTCCCTGCCAGACATGGATCAGCCACACCATTCCCTGTGGAATTTCTGAGCTCTCCGTGCTGTTTTCATGGCTCATGTGCCTTCCTCCTGCCTTTCCCAGATCACTCTGTTCTCCTCCACATCTCCACTTACTCCATGTCCCTCTTCCCATCCTCCAGCTGCAGCCACTGTTCTCCCCACCTACAAGTGACCCCATTGTCCACACTCGGGAGGTTTCCAGCATCTTTTCCTGCATTCCAGGTCAAGCCAGAACATTGACAAGACGCAGATCGTGCGATCCACAGCCACATCCAGCGGGGCCAGCAGCAGGACCCCCCCAGACCATGGTGGGTGATGGATTGGGATGGCTCTGGTGTCATGGAAGGGCTGCAGGACACCAGGTGCTGCTCCTGTTCCATCCTTTGACTTATTTATTCCCTGTGTCCCTGCAGTCCCAGATGAGACACATGGAGTGGCCCTTGGCGTTCCTGGTCGCGGTGTGCTGGCCTGTTTCAGCCCTCCCTGTTTTTCCACGTGCTGCGCCATTGCTCCCACTGCCATCTCCTCCACTGTCCCCTCAGAGACCAGCCCTGCCCATGCCACCAACCGGACAGGTGAGGGCCAGCCCAGATTCCCAGAAATGCTGGGACATCTCCAAGGTTTGTGTCACCTCGTGTCCTCCTTGTGTTCCTTGTGAGAAGATCTCCTCAGTCTCCTCCAGGATGAACAATTCCAGCTCCTTCTCCCCTCCAAATCCTCTTTCCACTCCTTTGGAAGCTCTCTAATGGCCATACCCTTTCTATCCTTATCCTTGGATGTATCCTTTATGTCCTTCTGTGCCCATGTGATGCAGTTTGGATCCTGTTGCCAGGGGTGTGTGGGAGCTAAAAAGGATTTGGAGCTTCCCATGTTGCCAGCAAAAAGTCATGGGAAGCTACACCAGGCACAGCTCACCTGAGCAGCCCTGCCTTGAGGTCTGACCTCATTCCCTCTTCATTCCATCATCAGCTCCATCAGGCACAGAGGGAATGGAAGCACAGACTCCTGGAATGCTTTGGGCCAGAAGGGACCTTAAATCCCATCTGGTTCCACCCCTGCCATGGACAGGGAACCTTCCACTATTCCCAGGTAGCTCCAAGTCCTGTCCAGCCTGGCCTGGAACACTTCCAGGGATCCAGGGGCAGCCACAGCTTCTCTGGGCAACCTGGGGAGCATCAGGAGGTGACACGGGGACAGGGTGAGCCCAGTGCTCCCAGCCTTTCTCTGCCTCTCAGCACAACCTTCTCTCCCATTTTTCCGCAGACCAAAGCCAGCCCTCCCTCCTGCCAGTGACAAATATCAAAGCCAAATCCAGGGGCATCACCGGGAAATCCGCCTCCTACACCAAGTGGCCAAAGACTCCTGACAGGTCTCAGAGCTTCGGCAGCCCCAATGCCAGCCCCTCCTCCCCCTTCTCCCACATCCAGGGCAAATCCAAGTACATCTCCAACCTCTCGCTCTCCCGCAGCAACTCCCGGCAGCAGCGCAGCCTCCGGCAGCCGGTGAGCGAGCGGCCCCGCACGGAGCAGCCCGGCACGGATGGTACGTGGATCCCAGCTTCTTTCTCTTCCAGCTTCGGGATTTTCCACCCTTTGCTGTTCCTAAACAGCGCCTGTTCTCTCCCTGCTAGGGCCGAGCCCGGTGCTGCAATCCATCCGGATCCTGGAGATCAACCTGGCCATCCATTCCCAGTACTGCGCCGCTGCTGACGCCTGCAGGTGAGCCAGAAGGGCTGGCTGGTGGCACTTTAATGGGAGCAGCAAATAGAAAAATCTGGGAGTTTTTCCAAGATTTTCTTGGATGCTTCCTGCCATTACCTCTTGCTGCTCGATGGGAAGAGGAGCTTGTGCTCTCAGCTTTCCCTCAGGGGTTGTGTTTGGTGGTGGGCTCATCCTTGGGACATTGGGAAGTTTTTCCCTCTGAGCTCTCGGCCTGCCAGGGATTTTGAGTCCTGTCCTGACCTTCCCACAGCCTGGTGACATCTGATGTTCTTTCTGTGTTCCCAGGGCTGGGAATTTCAGCTACCGCATCCCTGTGAGCCAGCAGACAGCCGTGAACACCAACCTGACCTTGGAGATGAAGTGAGTGCCCATGGATCGTGTCCTTTGGGAGCCCCTGGAGTGGCTGATGTGGCCATGGCGTCTCCATGGGAAAGGGACACTTGTTCCCCCTTCCACACCCTCATGGTGTCCTCTCTTCCCAGCTCCTCCTCCACTGTGTCCATCTCCCTTTGTGACCTTGTCTCCAGTGATCCCTGCCAGGACGCTGTGAGCAGGAACAGCTCCACTAACTCCACAGATGCACAGGTAGGGAAGGGAGAAGGGGACAGCTCACAAATTACACATGGAATCACTGAGGTTGGAAAAGTCCAACCATTCCCCCAGCACTGCCAAGGCCACCATGTCCCCAGGTGTCACATCCACACAACTTTTAAATCCCTCCAGGAGTGGGGACTCCTCTGCTGTCCTGGGCAGCCCTTCCCATGAAGGAATTTTCCCTAATACCCAACTTAAACCTCCCCTGGCACAGCTTGAGACCATTTCCTCTCATCCTGTCCTTTGTTCCCTGGGAGCAGAGCCTGATCCCACCTGGCTGCCCTCTCCTGTCAGGGAGTTATGCAGAACTTCCAGTAGGTCCATCTGGACCATCTCTACTTCCAGTAGAGCCAGAAGGTCCATCTGGAGTCTCCTTTCCTCCCGGCTGAGCCCCTCCAGCTCCCAGAGCCCTTCCTCATCCCACTTGTGCTCCAGGAGACATCCATGGGGTCACTTGACAGCACGAGGCTGTGGATTTCCTCACGGATCCAGCCTGGAGGCCACCCCCCAAGCTGATCCCTGACCAGCTGTTCCCCTTCCCTCCCCAGGACACCTCGCACCGCTGGCCCCTGGTGATGCTGTCCTTCCGGGAGTTTTCCTACCACTTCCGAGTGGCGCAGCCGGTGAGTACCCGCAGCTTGTCCAGGGCCACGTGGAAGGAGAGAAATGGGGGATTTATGAAATGTGGGGAATGCAGGAGCTTCCCACAGTCCTGTGGGTGGTAGGAGGATGATCTGTCCCTGCCCCAGCCCATAATCCAGGCAGAATTCCGCCCTTGGAGTAGCACCCCTCTCTCTCTAAGCTGCTTTTCCCGTTCCTAGGGCCGAGCTGACTGCAGCACTTCCCTGGAGCAGCTGGGACACCTCTTCACTGACTATTACTTCCAGTTCTACTGGCTCTGTGAGTGAGTCCCGGCAGCACCAGTGCCCTCTGCTCGGAGACAGGAGGGGAACTGGTGCCACTGGGAGCCTCCCGAATTCCCTGCTCCGCTGGCCCCCAGCCCCGCCTCATCCCCATGTCCTGCGGCAGCTCCGGAGCTGGAATGGTGATGGCTGGAGACACTGAAGCTCAGGACAGACAGGACCTAAAAGCCACCACCAGCCCTGTGGTGGCTCCTGGGGGGACCTCGCACCTATTCCCAGCATCCCACACCCCTCTCCTTCCCTTAGGGGGATGTTTGTGTCCTCCATCACTTCCCCCTCCCCTTCCAACACTGGATTTGGAAGCATCACACCGGACTGAGCGTGGACAGCTCTGCCACATCTCAGAGGGGTGCTCCTTCCATGGACAGGAGCCCCACCCGGTGCTCCCAGATGTCCCACATCAGTTCTTCACAACACTGGAATTGCTTCAACACTGGAGCCCTTTCCAAGAGCCAAACGCTGGAGTTTGGCCTGGAAAGGACGGCTGTGCCTGGACCTACTGGAAGTTCTACACTGGAGTTGCTGTTCCTTCTGCTTGGCCCAGGGCCACTTCCCACAGACTTCCCAGAGACTCCCGGACCTGCCAATGGACACGTTCCTCTAGGAACAACCGGAGAAGGAGCAGCTTCGACGTCATCCCCCCTCTTCTTTGTGCTCTTAAATCCCATATCCATGTGGGATATCCGGATCTGGATGGATAAAACCCCCACTCAAGCTGCTGCTGAGGCCATGCCACACCTGGGGGCACTTGTCCCCAAGCCAGGGGTGACAAATGACCAGCACTTACCCACATTCAGTGTGGTAGGATCCGTTTTTGTCCGCTCGGAAGCGGCGTGTGCGGAGCTGCCTGGTCAGCTCTGGAGCCAGTGCCGACCTCTGCCCAGATGTGCAGCACTGGCAAAGCCTGGAGTGCCCTGCAGAGCAAGGCCAAGTCCCTGGGAGCACCAGGATCTGTGTCCAGGCAGGATCTCGGTCTCAGGAGAGAGGTGGTGTTCTCCCAAAAGTTGGGATGGCAGCAGCTGCAGCCTGTCCCTGCCCTCACAGATCTATGCTGGGGGGATTTGGGATATTTTACTGTTACAAGTCCTTAAATTGCTAAACTACTGAATTCTTGTGGGGTTTAAGCCGTAAAAAAAAAAGAAACCAGGAATTTCCTTCTGGCCCCATTGAGCCATGTGTGTCCTGTGGGAAAGCCAAGTGGCTCCCTGTGCTTCCTCCTCCCCGTCCTGCTCCTTGTGCTACAGAGGAGTTGTCTGCATTCCTGGAGGCTCAGCCACCTCCAGGGTATTCCAAGATGGATTTCCCTGAGGAAACAAGTGAGGGGGGAATGCCACGTGCTGATCCTAAGGACATTCTAAAGCTGCTCTGGAAAAACAAAGATGGGTTTTATCCAGGTAAAGTGATGGTTCCTGGGCACGTCTGGTTTTATCTCCCATCATCCCCCCCCTGAGCTTATCCCAACGAAGCAGCCCTGAAATTCCTGGTGATGTCACTTGGATTTGGCATCTGCCCCCAAGAACTGTTTGTAGGGAGGTTTCAAGGCCTGAATTATAGTTACTAAAATCCACTGAGTCCTGGGAAGCAGGGAATAGTGGGTGAGCCAGGCATTGCGAGCAGCCAAGCAGTTGGAAAACCCAGTTTTGGGAAGCTCAGTGGGACAACAGGACACCCCAAGGCCTGGGAATACCTATGCACAAGCAGGGGGGCTCCATGCTCAGCAGGATTCTCTGTTTTTCCCTAAAATTGGGAAGGAAACACCTGGATGTAGCTGAGTGCTTTTCCCTCCACCTGCCCTGAGTGGTTTTTCCTCGTTTTAAACTGGGAAGTGACTTCCTTGGCAGGTTTGTTGTTCCCTTGGCAATCAGTGGCCCAGGCTGGCACATCCTTCCTCAGGTGAGTGATGCTGAGCTGGGATAAAAGCTCCTGGAAGAGGAAACAGGGAATGTTGGGGGGGCCAGAGCCTGCAATCACCACCCCCCTCAGCCAAGACATTCCAGTACATTCCACCCCACTCCTGAGGGAAGGAATCAATCAGTGGTGGCCCAGGAGGAGTTGGGATCTCTCAGGTGTCCCCAGGATGCTCAGCCATGGGATTTAGGGAGATTCCCAACAAACCAAGTGCCTGGAAACATCTCTAGTGCCTTTTTCCTTACGGAACAGCCCCAAGGAACAGTGTTTTCCCCCATGTATTCCCAAGTGCTGCCTCAGACATGGTGCCCAGGTGGTTTAACTGGGATGTGGCAATTCCTGGAGTGCCAAAGCCAGCCCTACCCGCATGGAGCTGGCAGCAATCCCTGGGATCAGGAGAGGACAGGGATTCAGGATGAAGTTTTTAGTGTCAATAGTACCTTATGTCTTAAAGTGGCACAGGTTGCCCAGAGAAGTTTTGGATGTTCCATCCCTGGAAGTGTTCCAGGACAGGTACGATGGGTTTGGAGCTGCCTGGACTAGTGGAAGGTGTCCCTGCCCATGGCAGGGAGTGGGACTGAAAGGGCTTTAAGGTCCCTTCCCGCCCAAACCATTCCAGGATTCCATGATAAAAATCATCCATCGGCTGCTGCCCAGCGAGGCAGCAACGAGCTCCAAAGGGGCTCAGAATTATAAAATGAAGGAGTCGTGGAATTGCTTCCAGGCCCGTGGAAACAGCTGTCTGCATGGATTTCCCCCCCAAAATGCATCTCTGCCCCTTCCCTGTCCCCAATCAGTACCAAGAGAGTTCACAATCAGGCCTTTCCCTGCGTGGGACGGAGGGAATTCTGAGCCCACCTCTCCAGCTTGGGGAAATCCCTCCCCATCCAGCGGCAAAGAGACATTCCTGGCTGGAAGGAAGACAAAAGGGTGGAGAACGAGGCTGTTTGGGAGTTGTTTCAAAAGCAAATTCCCAACTCTTCTGTCCTACTGTTGGAGCTTAAAGCCTGTAAATAGAGACTATGGCATCACTGGAAGAATTAAGGAAAAAAACACCACGTAAAGCACTAATTTTGTTGGTTTAAATGTTGCTGCCACAGCTTTAATCACTGTATTTTGCCAGCCAGTTCGTAGAGTTGCATTTGTAGCAGGTTATTATTGATTCCTGGTTTTTATTTGTGGGGAACAAGCGTGGTTTCCCTCTTTTCTTCCTGATTTATATTTATATTTTGCTGAATTTGAGGGCTGAGTTTCCGGATTCCCCGGATTTTTTTTTTTGTTTGTTTGTTTGTTTTGTTTTGCTTATTTAGACTTTGTTTTATGCTGGAGGTAAATGTGCCCATATGAATAAAATATATAAATACTGCTTTGTATCCAAGGATGGCTCCTGGTGCTTTCCTCCCTCCTTTCTGATGGAATAACTCAGGTGAATGGCTGTAAAGCTGACCACGGGATAGAGGAAATTCCAAGTCTTTAATCAGTGGAAGTTTCTGGATATGCCCAGTCAAGGTTCTTTGGAATGGGGATAAAAAGGAAAAAGGAAGGAGGAAAAAGAAAGGAAGAAGGGGAAAGAAATTAGGAAGGGAAAATGAGGGAAGCAGGAGAAAATGAAGAAAATAAGGAGGGAAAAGAAAGGTTAAATGGACAAAGGGAAAAGGAAAAAGAAAGCAGAAGGACAAAGAAAGGAGGAAGAGGAAAAAAGGAGGGGAAAATGAAGAAAGGAAGGAAAAAGAAAGGAAAAGGAAAACCTGCCTCTGATATCACATTGCTCACTTCAGAGGGCAGACTCAGGTCCAGAAGGATCCAAAAGTCCACGTAAGGAAATCTTCCTTCCCAAATAGGAAATCGGGGCTTGGATTTGTGATTTTGAAGTGGAATGGTTTGAAATCCGGTCTAAAATTCCAATCTGCCTCTTGCAGACATATAAATCAATTCCTTGTTTCTAGGCCAGGCAGTTAATTCAGGAATTAATGAAGGGCACATCCAGCACCACAAAACTCCTGGTTAGGGATGAGAACAGGCACAGCATTCCCAAAAGAAGGGTGAGGGGATGTGATGGCAAAGAGGGCTGAGGGATTAAAAGCAGATTTAGGATTCATTCTGCACAGCCTGGCTGCACCAGGACACAAGGTGGCACTGGAACACCTGTGACCACACACAGCACAGAAATCTGGGATAAAACACTGGCCACGTCCCAAAGTACCCAAGATCCCAAAGATCTTGTGCCAATATGGAGAAAGGGAGGCTCAGGAGGGACCTTTCCACTCTGCTCAACTCCATGACAGGAGTGTGCAGCCAGCTCCTTCTCCCAGGGAAAGTGACAGGACAAGAGGAAACAGCCTCAAGCTGCACCGGGGGAGGTTTAGGTTGGGCATTAGGAAAAATTCCTTCATGGAAAGGGTTTTAGAGCACTGGAACAGGCTCCAGAGGTGGAGTCCCCATCCCTGGAGGGATTCAAAAGCTGTGTGGCTGTGGCACTTGGGGACACGGGTTAGTGGTGGCCTTGGCAGTGCTGGAGGAGTGGTTGGACTGGGTGATCCTAGAGGGCTTTTCCAGCCTTAGACTTCCCATAATTCTACCCAAGCCCTTTGGAAAAGCCAGGTTAAAAAAAAAAAAAAAGGACAAACCAGCAGTCCCCAGGCAGGTGTGTCACAGAGCCACCTTTATTCACCTGTGGGTCACTGCCTGTCACAGACCACACCTGCTACAGGCGTTTTCTCGTTGAAATACAAAAGAAATATAAAAAGAGCTTTCCCGAATCCCCCATCCAGGCCCCCCTGGGGGTTCAGACGTAGATCCCGACCCAGAGCAGCAGGAACAGGACGCCGAAGCCCATGAACAGCGAGGCCACCAGCGAGATCAGCAGCTCCTTGTAGATGTCCCGGGTGTACTTGGTGGATGTCACCTCGTAGCTGCCAGGCCGGGGGTTAAGGTGATAAAACAGAGGCACAGCAAGGCGAGGGGACCCCCACCCGCTCCCCTGCCCCCGGGAATCAGGGCGATAATCCGGGACTGGAAGGCACCGCAAGGGGACCTTGCGCTCAGCCGCGGGGATACACGAAGAACCAGGCGGTGAAGAACATGCCGATGGCCAGCAGCACCACGGTGAGGTGCGGGAACACGGCCGGGTTCACCGGGCTCGTATATCTGCTCATCGCCTCCAGCTCCTGCGGGGACACGGCAGTGTTCAGCGGGGCCGGGCAGCCACCGGGCCGAGCCCCCTGTAGCAATCCCCGGTTCCCCCCATCCCCGCCCTCACCATGTCGCCGGTCCCTGCTGCGACACGTCGGCTCCGCTCCCGCCGCCGCACGTCCGCCCCCCTCTGCCGCCGGAAGTGGAAGTGAGGGCGGGAACGAGGCGCGGCGAGCGCGAGCCGCTTCCCCATTGGCCGGCGGCGGCTCCCGGCGGGCTCGGCGGCGGAGCGCGGG